CACCAGATCCCACAGATGGATCCCCCTCCGGATGCCATCAGATCCTACCGGACACATTGCTCACAGATACTTCACCCAGGAACTAGGGATCTACAGCAAATCCCCACTGCCCTCTTTAGTGGCTCCCACTGGATCCTCTGAAGACTATGGGGTTTTTTTTTTTTTTTGAGATGGAGTCTGGCTTTGTCGCCCAGGCTGGAGTGCAGTGACATGATCTTGGCTCACTGAAAGCTCTGCCTCCTGGGTTCACGCCATTCTCCTGCCTCTGTCTCTCTAGTAGCTGGGACTACCGGTGCCCGCCACTGTGCCCGGCTAATTTTTTTTTGTATTTTTAGTAGAGATGGGGTTTCACCATGTTAGCCAGGATGGCCTCGATCTCCTGATCTCGTGATCCGCCTGCCTCGGCCTCCCAAAGTGCTGGGATTCCAGGCGTGAGCCACCGCGCCCAGCCAAGACTGTGGTTTTTGAACGATTCCGTTCAGCGGTAGAATCCTTTATCCAGGCAGAGAACCCAGCAGAAGGGAGCTGTGTGGGTGGAAGGTGGGAGGCCTGGTGCCCCATCTGGTGAGCTCTTTCTTTCCTGTACCCACAACCCCCGCATGCTGTCCCCAGAGGCCCCGATGTAAGTCTCAAGGGCTGTGCTTCAATCAGACAGCAGAGATGTCCCAAATGGGACCCTTGAACCCCAAGTGTAGAAAGAGAGGAACAGACCCTCATCCCTCAGCTGCTGCCAGTGCCTCCTCCTTCTGGAAAGTCCTGGCCCAGCCCGTCCAAGCCCTGGGGAGATCGGAGCAAGGCCCCCCTGGGGAAGAGGGCACAGCCTTCAGCCAGGGAAAACCACCCCCACCTCACCGTGGAATGCTTCCAGAAATACAGCACGTCCTCCACATTTTCCAGCGAATGCAACAGGAAGTGGTCGCGCCATTCTTGCCAGTCAATGGTCATTGTGCCATCTCGGTCCATGCTGGGGGGAAGAGTGAGGGGGGAGGAGGACAGGCTCAGTGCCTGGGGGTGGGCTAGGCTTGGGTGAAGTTCTGCTAGGTTTTGCAGTTTGGGAGGTTCAAGTCCTCGTATCAACCCTATTGGAGACGTAGCAGTATTGCCATCATTTTCTTTTTTCTTTCTTTTTTTTTTTTCTTTTGTTTTGAGACAGAGTCTCGCTCTGTCGCCCAGGCTGGAGTGCAATGGTGCGCCTCCCGGGTTCAAAAGATTCTCCTGCCTCAGCCTCCCATGTAGCTGGGACTACAGGTGCACACCACCACGCCCAGCTAATTTTTGTATTTTTAGTAGAGTCGGGGTTTCACCATATTGGCCAGGATGGTCTTGATCTCTTGACCTCATGATCCACCTGCCTCAGCCTCCCAAAGTGCCAGGATCATAGGGGTGAGCCACCATGCCCAGCCACATTACCCTCATTTTCTAGAGGGGGAAACTGAGGCTGAGAGAGGCAACTGGTCCCAGATCTGTCTGGCTTCAATTTGAATTTTTCTTTTTTTTTTTTCCAGACAGAATCTCACTCCGTCATCCTGGTTAGAGTGCCCTGGCATGATCTTGACTCACTGCAACTTCTGCCCTTTGGGTTTAAGGGATTCCCGTGTCTTAGCCTCCCAAATAGCTGGAATTACAGGCATGTGCCACCATGCCTGGACAATGTTTGTATTTTTAGTAGAGATGGGGTTTTACCATGTTGACCAGGCTGGTCTTGAACTCCTGACCTCAGGTGATCCACCTGCCTCCATCTCCCAATGTGCTGGGATTGCAGATGCGAGCCACCACACCTGGCCAGATCTGTCTGACTTCAAAGCCCCAACCTCTCAGCTGTATCCTCCTTGGGACTGTCCCAGAAGACAGAGATGGCCAAGGGGTCACTGCGTCCTGAGTTACTTTGGATTCCAGACCCCCAGTGACTCACCTGTGCAGGATTTTCTCCGCCTGCTCCAGCGTGATGGAAATGCCCAGAGCTCGGAAACTCTGTTGGATCTCGGAGACGTCAATGTGACCTGGGGAGGGGGTCGGAGGGGGGGAAGGATGTGCGTGTGAGGACACCTGGGGAACCCCAGGACCAAGAATCAGAACAGCTTGGAATGGAGGTGGTCTAGCAAGATCAGGGGCTCCAGAAACCCAGGACGAGGTTTGCAGCAGGGCTGTGGGGGGATCCCTGACTCACTGGGGTCAGAGAGGTGGAACCGGGAAATACTGGGGCGGCTTCTCTGTTCTGTGAATGAATGAAGGAATCCAGGGGTAACTGGGGGTCTCTGTGCCATGGGGAATTGAGAGGCAATATCCGCAACTCAGATGCTGCTATGAGGGGATCTCCGCCCTACAGGGTACCCAGGAACAGCATGGGGTATCTTTGCCCCCTAGAAAAACCTAAGGGTGCCGGGCGCGGTGGCTCACGCCTGTAATCCCAGCACTTTGGGAGGCCGAGACGGGAGGATCACAAGGTCAGGAGATCGAGACCATCCTGGCTAACACGGTGAAACCCCGTCTCTACTAAAAAATACAAAAAACTAGCTGGGTGAGGTGGTGGGTGCCTGTAGTCCCAGCTACTCGGGAGGCTGAGGCAGGAGAATAGCGTGAACCCGGGAGGCGGAGGGGAGGCAGAGCTTGCAGTGAGCTGGAGATTGTGACACTGCACTCCAGCCTGGCCATAGAGCTGAGACTCCGCTCCTCAAAAAAAAAGAAAAAAAAAAAAAAAGAAAAGAAAAACCTAAGGGTAATTATCAGGGTTCTACCCCAGAAGGGAAAGGAGGTGGGATGGGCTGGCTGGGCCTCGAACCACCTAGCTGGGGGGTGAGGAGCACTCCTGAAATAGCCTGTGAGTCATCGGGGAGAAGCGGCCCTCCCCCTCTCCTCCTAGGCTGCCAGTTCTAACCCCATTGATGTCTCTAGGGCCCCCACAGCCCTATCCCTGGGGGCCTGCAGGCAGGCCGCCCCACCTTACCGTCCTGGTTCCGGTCAAGACTGTGAAACATGAGCAGCAGACGCTGTTCCCGCTCCTGTAGGTAGCGGGAAAATTCCTCCAGGTCAAGCCCGCCATCTGGGTCAGTGTCCCCCTCAGAGGAGATACCCTGGCAGAGGAAAAGGGGACAGAGGTGACTCCAGCAACCTGCTCCTGATCTGGAGGGGACGCACGTCACCTTATGCCTTAGGAGCCCAGAGCCCCCAGTGCCTTGAGGAAGGGGACAGAAGATATCACCCCACTTCTCCCTCAGTCGGCTAGCTTCTCAGTCAGATCCCTACAGCCACCACAGGTCTGTGCCATGAGTGAGTGGTTCCTGGTGAGCAAACTGAGGCTCTGCAAGGTCAAGCCACCAGTTCAAGGTCACAGAACCAGGAAATGGTAACCTTGGGTTCTCGTCTCTAAAGCCTGTCCTCCCAGCTGTCTCTTGTTTTTATTTTTTATTTTTATTTTTAGGTACCTCATTCCTGTTGAACCCAACTGCCTCTTTAAAAAACCCTGTCCACATGGGGGTCCTAGGAGTTCCCTTTGGAGACAGCCCTGGGTGATGTGGGGTAGGAGAGAACCAAGCGGAGTGGCTGAGGCCTTCGTTTTTCCCAGTTGGGAAGTGGGAGGTTGGACTGGTCTCCGGGACGCTGTGGTGGTTTTAGGGCGATCTGGGGCTACAGGTGTGGCAAGGGCCTGCAAGGTGTAGGTGGGGGTGGCGGGGGACAAGTCCTAGTGATAGGTGCATTTCCAGCTGCCGGTGACCGCAGACAGGATCGGGTCCCTGGCTGGGGCAGCCCGGGACAGTGAGCCAGGCCCGTGAACAGCCCATGAAAGGGCAGGCCAGGGAATGTAAACACAGGGACGGGGGCAGCTGCAGGCCAGGGCAGTAGGTGCCCAGAGGATGGAGGGTGTGTCTCCTGGAGGTGGGAGCAGGGCACGTCTTGGGCTGTGCAGTCCGGAGGAGGGTGTGTCCCGGGCAGTGGGCAGGAAAGCGCCCCCATCTCTTCCCAGGCAGACACCCCCTGCTCCCAGGGAGGGGGATCGGGTGTTGGCTGCAGAATTGCAGACTTGGGGCCTCGGCGGCCCTGTCTTGAGCGATTCCGTTAGGCCAAAGACGAGTGGGTAGGGGGAAGGAGACAGAGACACAGACCCTGGAGTCCAGCCACAGGTAGTCCCTGGTGGCTCCGGCCGCCCCATTCAGGGGCTTGGGTGACCGGGAGCGGGCGGGGCCGGGAGGGGAGGAGATCCCCGGGAGTGGGGGTACCTGTTGGGCGCCGGGGTCTGGGTTGCCCCCGCCCAGCCTGGCCAGCCCCTGGCGCAACTCGTGCACGTCCACGCGGCCATCCTTGTTACTGTCCAGCTCCTCAAACAGGCGACCCCAGCGCTGCCGCCGCTCCGCGTCACCCGGGCTCCCCCGCATGGCGCCCGCCCGGGGGGGAGGGGAGGCCCGGCAGCGGCGGCCTCAGCGGGGGCTTCTCGGCTCCCCCTCCCCCCCGGGACCCCGCAGGGTCAGCTCCCCCGGCCGCCGGCTCCGCAGCCTCCGTGCAGCCCGCTGGGCTCTGGCACTTGCGGGAGGTGGTGACTGCTAGCCGTCGCCGCCCGCGCCAGAACTTGCGTCTCCTCCCCCGACCGGCATTGGGGGGAGGGGACCGAGGGCGGAGCTGGGGGCGTGGGGAAGGAATGTCTGGGATGGTCTGGTATTGCACAGCCGAGGGAACACAAGAGTTCTTTCTGGGAAGAGGGGCTAGGGAGCCCAGTGGTCTCAGAGTTCCGCCTCTGCGTGCCTCAGTTTACCCTTTTCCCCTTTGCCCAAGGGGGCAAGGTAGAGAGCTGTCGGGGATTGGGTTTCATAATCCCTTTCCACTTGACCTCCCCGCCACACCCACTAATCTTCAGGAACTCAAGTTCTCGCTTCTGCCAGACGCACGCAAGAACCCTGCAACATCTCGCTCGCTCTCTGCCCGCCCACGCCTGACACCTTCTCCTCTCGGCCGCAGAAACAGAAGATCCAGGCGCTATGCGCTCCCACCGTCCCTTCCTCCCGCCCGCGCGCCTCCTTTCTCGGTCCCAGTCCTACCGGGAAACAGAAAATCAACACGCGGCGCGGCTGCAAAGTCGGTTTCCTATTGGTCAGCGCCGCCTGGGCTGAGCCCGCCCGCCCCGCCTCTTCTCCCACCTGGGCGGGGCCTCTCCGCGGACCCCCGGCTGCCTCCTGCCCGCAGTCCAACTACCTGCCAGGAGATCTTAAAGAGGCCGCGGCCGCATTCAGACGCTGCGCGGCATGGGGAGGGGGTGGCTCAATGTCCCGGGCGCGGGGTTGAGGATCCCAGTGTTCGAGCGCTGGAGGCGGGGCCCCAGCCTGTAGCGCTCGCTGCACCTGCGGAATGTCCCTACTACTAGTTTCAGGCGCAGTTTCTCTATTCACCATTAGGGGGAAGGGAGCCCAGACCACTTGACAGCGAATAATAACAAAAGCTCACTTTGATTCAGTGCGTTGCACATGCCAGGGCTTTTACTCACCTCTCGCGTCGTCGTTGCCGAAACCCTATAAGGTAGGTGGTACTGGCGTTCGCACTTTGCAGATAAGGAAACGGAGGTTAACTCATTCTTAGTGGGCATTCTCTGATGCCCACTAAGGGGCAAAGTAGGGGTTTAAAGAGATCTGGGATCCTTAACCATCACTCTATCCCCTAGAAGAAATTAATCCTTTTTTTTTTTTTTTTTTTTTTGAAACGGAGTTTCTCTGTTGTTGCTTAGGCTGGAGTGCAATGTCGCGACCTCGGCTCACTGCAACCTCCGCCTCCCGGGTTCAAACGATTCTCCTGCCTCAACCTCCCGAGTAGCTGGGATTACAGGCGCCCACCACCAGGCCCAGCTAATTTTTTTTATTTTTAGTGGAGACAGGGTTTCACCATGTTGGCCAGGCTGGTCTCGAACTCTTCACCTCGTGATCCACCCGCCTCGGCCTCCCAAAGTGCTGGGATTATAGGCATGAGCCACCGCACCCAGCCGTGAGTTTTGTATTTTTAGTAGAGATGGGGGATTTCACCATGGGGGCCAGGCTGGTCTCGAACTCCTGATCTCAGGTGATCCTCCTGTTTCAGCCTCCCAAAGTGCTGGGATTACAGGCGTGAGTCACCGCACCCGGCCTGGCCTAATTATTCTTTAATCATCACTCGTCACCCAAGGGTCCTTAGGAGGGGGTCTTGTTATTATCATCATCGTTTATCCAAAGATACAGCATTGGCCAGGCTCAGTGGCTTAGGCCTCTAATTCTAGCACTTTGGGAGGCTGAGATGGGAGGATCGTTTGGGGTCAGGAGTTCGAGACCGGCCTGGGCAATATAGCAAGACACCCATCTCTACCAAAAATAAATAAATAAATAAATAAATAAATAAATAAATAAATAAATAAAAGAAAAGAGAGAGAGAGAGAGAGAAAACAAAGATACAGCCGTGAGGGCATATTTGGGTCACTCCCAGCCTCTGCCTAGACAGGTGTGCTGGAACAGATGTGCCCCAGACAAATGAGTCTCTTCTAAGAGACGCCCCTAGCAGAGATTTTCATTCACGGTTGTTCCTTGCAGGTGCCATACGGCATGGAGTGATACAGAGGTTTTTTTCCGTGTAAGTGCCCCCAAATAGGTGTTTTCTCACAGATGCATCCTTGACAGGTGGGCCTCAGTGTATGTGAGCCCCTGCCCTGATGGTTTTACCCACAGATGTGCGTCAATGTGAGTGTGCCCCATGCAGAAGTTCCAAGTTCTTCCCCTCACTTGAGCTCAGTCTCATACAGGTGTTCCTCCTACAAGGTGCTTTCCCTTACCTCACAGGTATGTTTCTGAACAGGTTTCCCTCCACCCATGAATGCATTCTACAGTCTCCCGCCCCATAGGTGTGTTTCAGTAAAGCATACACCCATCTGGGTATGTTTCCATATAACCAAGTCCCATATAGGTCTACGTAAATGCAGGTATGTCTCATACAGGTATTTACAAGACACTGACACCCCAGTAATTCCCCAATACAAGTGCTGTACATTTCATAGGTGAGCCATGCAGATGTGTTCCTAAAACAGGTCTATTCCACATCAGAGTGCCTTAGCTGTTTGTGATGATAACGCAGGCGTGTTCTGTGGAGATATTGTCCACCCTGGTGGTATGTATCCATTTGGTCATATTTCTTTTCTTTTCTCTTTTTTTTTTTTTTTTTTTGACAGAGTCTTGCTCTGTCACCCAGGCTAGAGTGCAGTGGCGTGACCTCGGCTCACTGCAACCTCCGCCTCCAGGGTTCAAGCGATTCTCTTGCCTCAGCCTCCCAAGTGGCTAGGATTACAGGCGCCCACCACTACGCCAGCCAATTTTTGTATTTGTTTTAGTAGAGACAGGGATTTCACCATCTTGGCCAGGCTGGTCTTGAACTCATGACCTCGTGATCCACCTGCCTCGACCTCCCAAAGTGCTAGGATTACAGGCATGGGCCACCATGCCCAGCCTTGGTTATAATTCATATAGCTGTGATTCAATGCAGATTTTTTTTCTTTTTATGGGATGGAATTTCACACTTGTTGCCCAGGGTGGAGTGCAATGGCCCAGTCTCAGCTCACTGCAACCTTTGTCTCCTGAGTTCAAGCAATTCTCCTGCCTCAGCCCCCGAGTAGCTGAGATTACAGGTGCCTGCCACCACACCCAGCTAATTTTTGTATTTTTAGTAAAGCCAAGAGTTTCACCGTGTTCGCCAAGCTGGTCTGGTCTCGAACTCCTGATGTCAGGTGATCCTCCCGCCTAGACGTCCCAAAGTGCTGGGATTACAGGCACGAGCCACTGCACCTGGCCACATGTTTTCTGTGTGTTCTTATAGGTGAATGCCTGTGCAGTAGTTGTCTTCTGTACAGGTTTGATTCCACACAGGTGTTAACCGTACAGGTGTTTTATCTTTTAAAAATTTTTTTAGAGACAGGGTCTCACTTTGTCACCCAGGCTGGAGTACAGTGGTACAATCATAGCTCACTCACTGTAACCTCCACTCCTGGGCTCAATCCATCCTCCCACCTCAGCCTCCCAAGTAGCTGGGACTACAGGTGCGTGCCATCACATCCGGCTAATTTTCGTATTGTTTTGTAAAGATGGTGCTCCCTATGTGGGCCAGGCTGATCTCGAACTCCTGGCCTCAAGTGATTCTCTTGCTTTGGTCTTTCAAAGCGCTGGGATTACAGGATCACGCCAGAGCCCCGGGCTTATTTTCTTCTTCTTCTTCTTCTTCTTCTTCTTTTTTTTTTTTTTTTGGTAGAGAATCAGGCCTCGCTGTGTTGCCCAGGCTGGTCTCGGACTCCGGGCATCAAGCGATCCTCTTGCCTCAGCCTCTCAAAGTGTTGGGATAACAGGCGTGAGCCATTGTGCCTGGGCGGGTGTTTTTTCTCATTGAGCGCTCCCCATCCAAGTCTGCCCTAGGTAGGAGTGCCTCGTGCACGGGTACATACATACCCCGTGCGTCTCCACACCTGTGCGCTCCTACACATGGCTCGCAATGCAGGTGTGAGGGTCCCGTTACAGGTGTGCCCGCAGCGCGGCCCCGCCCCCTTCTTGGCTCCGCCCTCTTATCGAGGCTCAGGTGCACAAGCCGGAAGTGCGCTCTCCTCCCAGGTGAGTGACTAAACTTTCCGGGTCACGTGAGCGGGCGGAGCCGGTGGGATCGGACCCAAAGACCGACCGACGGACCGAGGGTTCGAGGGAGGGGCACGGACCAGGAACCTGAGCTAGGTCAAAGACGCCCGGGCCAGGTAGGAAAGCAGGACGCACCGCTAGGCCTGCGCCCTCGCCCGTCCACCCTACCCGTCCCGTCGCCTTCCTTTCCCCAGCCCAGGAACGCGCTCCCGGGAGTTAATCTTTAATCGCTGACCTCTGGCGGCTGGGGCGGGGCGGGACTCATGGGTGCCCTGGCGCCAGTTGTTTCTCCTGTGGGCCTGCGCCTGGGTCCAGACCCCGATCCCAATGCCCAGGCCTCTCTCCTTCTCCTGCCCCCAGGTGCCCCGCCGCAGGTGCCCCTGGCCGGAGATGCGGTAGGAGGGGCGCGCGCGAGAAGCCCCTTCCTCGGCGCTGCCAACTCGCCACCCAGCCCATGGCGAACCCCGGGCTGGGGCTGCTCCTGGTGCTGGGCCTGCCGTTCGTGCTGGCCCGCTGGGGCCGAGTCTGGGGGCAACGTAGGTACCAGCTGAGGGCTCTGGGGGGAGGGGTCCGGATTCCTGGATCTCTGCTGGGGACGTGGCTTAGAAGCGCTGGGTATCTGGGGCACAGAGAGGGTCAAGAATTGGGAAGCGGGCAAGAAATACCTTCGGGAGGGGTCTACAGGGTTAGGGCTCAGGGAGATTAAGATTTCTAGTTTCTTCCTTGGACCTTGGGAGGTGGTCTAGGAGACCTGAGTTCCTGAGCGAGGTGGAATTGTGTGTTGTAGTGGGGACTCCTCAGTAGGACTTGGTGGGAGGTAAGGGCTGTGTGCCTGAGTCCTGGCATAGTGCAGGTGTTTTGGGTGAACTGGGAGCTGGGAGGAAGCCTGCCAAGCCCGGTCGACCTGGTTGGCTGAAGGTGTAGACCCCAGCCATTCAGTCTTAGATTTGTTTTGGGAGCCTGGGGGGAGGGGTGAGTCAGACACTCCAGGGAAAAGCTAGGCCCGCCCAGATCCTTAAGCGCCCAAGGCCGGGTGGTGAGTGGGGGAGGGTTGGACTTCCGGACACCCTACTGGGCTCTGCTGGGCTGGGTGGGGGGGTGTCTGGAGGAGCAAACACCTGAGGGACAGGTCCTGCCTGCAAGGCGCCCACTGTCTCTGCGAATGAAAGGCAGAGTTTGAACTGGGACTTGCTGGGGGGAGGTGAAGGGGAATGACCAAAGCAGGTGCCCATGGGCGGGGATGGGAGAGAAAGATGGAGACTGATTTATTCTCTGCCTTCAGCCTCCACAGGATTGACCTCTTCTGCATATGGCAGTAGCACTGTTGGGCCTTCACCCACCAGCCCCAGCTCCAGCTCCAATGGCAACTTGGTGAGTTGGAGGTATATGGGGGAAGATGGCAGCAAGGATGTTATCCAGGGGCCACACGTACGGCATGTAGAGAGGACTGGACACCCCCTTCCCCCAGAGGTGGCAGGTCAGGGTGGCTTTGGAGAGCTCTAAGTAGGAGAGACCTGAAGTCTTAGACCAGGAAGACTAGGAGACCCTAGAGGGAGTGGGCAGGAACACTGTAGCTGTCAGATGTGGGGGCTCAGGAACTCCACATGCCTCTCAGGTGGGTGGGGAAGCAAGGAGCTCAGACTTGGTAGATATGATGAAAGCAGGAGTCCCGGCTGGGCGCGGTGGCTCACACATGTAATCCTAGCACCTTGGGAGGCTGAGGCAGGCAGATCATGAGGTCAGGAGTTTGAGACCAGCCTGGCCAACATGGTGAAACCCCATCTCTACTAAAAATACAAAAAATTAGCCAGGCAGGGTGGCACACGTGTGTAATCCCAGCTACTCGGGAGGCTGAGGCAGGGATAATCACTTGAGCCCAGGAGGCGGAGGTTGCAGGGAGCTGAGATCGTGACACTGCACTCCAGCCTGGGTGACAGAGCAAGACTCTGTCTCAAAAAAAAAAAGCCCAAGTCCCAGACATGGCAGGTGCTTACGAGGGGTGTCCCAGACATGGCAGGTGGTGGGGAGCCTTAGCACCCCAGATAAGGTAGGTAGGGATCCAGGAAGCCCCAGTGTAGGGATCAGATCACCAACAGTGGCAGATATGTGTGTGTGTTGTGGGTTAGGGGTTGATGAGGGGGGTGCAATTCAGGTGGAGGTGGACAGGCTACCCAGGCTCAGGTGATTCACCCCTGTCCCCTCTCTGAAGTCTCAGGAGGCCATCACTGCTATCATTGTGGTCTTCTCCATCCTGGCCATCTTGCTCCTGGCTGTGGGGCTGGCACTGTTGGTGTGGAAGCTTCGGGAGAAGCGGCAGACGGAGGGCACCTACCGGCCCAGCAGCGAGGAGCAGGTGGGTGCCCGTGTGCCACCGACCCCCAACCTCAAGTTGCCGCCGGAAGAGCGGCTCATCTGAACGCTGGGGCCTGCTGCAGTCACCAACACTGCCCAGGACTGCGGGGTGCTGGCTTGTACACTGCAGCTGCCACCGAGACACCAGCCTCTGATGGCTCAGAAGGACTTGTGGGGAGAGGCTGGGGGCACCCACCTGGTGGGCTCTGTGCAGCATGTTGCCTCTGCTTGGCTGTGCCTGAAGCTCAGGGTGCTGGGGCTCGGGACCCACCTCCCCGCTTGCGGAACCAACTTTTCTCTATGTGTCCTGCAGGCTCCACAGCCCCTTCTCCTTTCTTTCAGTTCTCCCATGCAGCTGAGGCCCGGGCCCCTCAGGACTCCAAGGAGACGGTGCGGGGCTGCCTGCCCATCTAGGTCCCCTTTCCTGCATCTGTCTCCCTTCATTGCTGTATGACCTTGGGGAAAGGCAGTGCCCTCTCTGGGCAGTCAGATCCACCCAGTGCTTAAGAATAGCAGGGAAGAAGGTACTTCAAGACTCTGCCCCTGAGGTCAGGAGAGGATGGGGCTATTCACTTTTATATATGTATATAAAATTAGTAGTAAGATGTAATAAAAGCTTTATTGGTGTGTTTGAGCTGGTGGGAGCATTAGCTGAGATGGAAGTGACGAATGCCGAGAGGAATTGTAAGGTTGCCGGGATTCTAGAGGACCAGGAGGCTTCCTGGAATTCCCCACTACGACTCAGAGAGGCTGCCCTTGGAGGGACAGAGGTGGGTGGGATGGATTTCTGAGCAGAATGAGGGCACCAGAGAAATTCACCAGGAAAAAAACAGCTTTGGGTTCCTGTGGCTTTACTGAGGGACTGGGGTCTCTCCTGGACCCCTGATTCTTAACCCTCAAAGCACTTCTTAAGATCAGCGACTCTGGGCCGGCTGCTGGGCTGGAGTTTTTGCCAGTTGCTGGTGGGTGTAGCAGGGGAATTTGGAGCTCCTGGTTCCTTGAGTGGCTGGAGGTGAGCGTGCTCTGCTAGCAGGGCCTTGGGAGACTGGGCTCTGGGGTCCTCCAGAGAACTGGGGTCTGAGGAAGGATCAAGGGGCTGGGACGTCCAGGCTATATCAAAGTTGGGCTTTGTGGGGGCCAGAATTTGGGGGCTTTCTGGAGGGCTGGGCTCAGTGGGTGCAGTGGAGAGCCAGGAAGTGGGGTTTTCCTGGGTTCTAGAATCTTCAGCTGCCTTGTGGGAAGGGGCGAGATGAAGAATTAGGGGCTCTGTGAGAGGAGAGGGTTCGGGGTCCCCTCGGCTGCTTGGGTCTGCAGAAGCTGTTGAGGACTGGGATGGAGAGATGATTTCTTGGTCAGACTCTGAGGGTATTAGCTGGGACCTGGGGTCCTTTGAAGAGCTGGTGGCATCCAAAGACGAGGTGCTTTGCAGGGATGGCAGGGACAAGGGCTGGGGCTCTGGCTCTGGTAGTTTCTTATCGTCTGGTTGCCATCTTGGTATGTTAGGCTAGGTGGGATGGATAGGGAAGTTGTGGCTTTTAGATGGCAGAGGGGCTGGCAAGTTGGATGGACCATTAGGGGAAGACCTGGGGGGGGGTTGGGGGAGTGGGCGAGGCTCTCACCAGGCTGAAGCAGCTGTCCAGGTCTCCTCTGTGACAGCAGTCTAAACTCTGGCTCGGTCTCAGGCTGCCTGCACTCTTGGCTCCCACGCTAAGACTGTCCAGGATCTCGCTCAACAAATCCAGTTCTTCTCCAGACCCTAAGAAGCTGCTGTCCAGAGCTTCTTCTGCCCACGGGCACCCCTCATCCTCAGAACTCAGAGGGGGTGTCCTGGGTGAGGATGGGCAGACTCAGATATTTGCCCGAGACCCCCCAGCCCTGGTCAGGCTGCTCTGGAGTTTGGGGACCCTCTTCCCCATCAGTCCTGGCCTCCCACTTTCAACACCGCTGTTCCCTTTTAGCCTTACCCCACCCCTGGGGGCTCGGAAGGTCCCTCTTCCAGCCGGGGTCTCCTGCTGGGGCGAAGGGGCCGGTTCTGCAAAGGGTGGGGGTGATAGGACCTCAGGAGACTGCAGAATCAGGGGACTGAGGCTTGCTAAAGGAGGGTGAGTGTGAAGTGGGTGCCACATATTTGGGAAGTTGAAGAAGGAGGTGAGATGTCTGGATGGGGACTGGGATGGGTGGAGGATTCAGTGATAATTCTAGGTGTGTGCATGGCGGGAGGGGGCGCTCTCACCTGTCCAAAGTGCCGAGTGATTGGGAGGCGTTGCTGCAGGCGGTCTGAGCGGCTGGTGAGGGCTGGGACCCTCAGAGAGCCCCCCCTCTGCAGGATAGAGTCCCCATCCTAGGAAGAGAATGCATGAACTGGGAACCTCTGCCACGAAGTCTCCCCATCACCCCCTACCATTGGTCTTTAGTTAGTCTTTTTTTTTTTTTTAAATGAAGCTTCACTCATGTTGCCCAGGGTGGAGTGCGTGGTGCAGTCTTGGCTCACTGCAACCTCTGCCTCCGGGGTTCAAGCGATTCTCGTGCCTCAGCTTCCCAAGTAGCTGGAATTACAGGCATACGCCACCATGCCCAGCTAATTCTGTATTTTTAGTAGAGATGGGGTTTCACCATGTTGGTCAGGCTGGTCTCAAACTGCTGATCTCAAGTGATCCACCTACCTCGGCCTCTCAAAGTGCTGGGATTACGGGCGTGAGCCACCGCACCCAGCCAGTCTTCTTCTTCTTCTTCTTTTTTTTTTTTTTTTTGAGACAGAGTCTCCCTCTATCACCCAGGCTGGAGTGCAGTGGCACGATCCAGGTTCACTGCCCTCTACCTCCTGGGTTCCAGCAATACTCGTGCCTCAGCCTTCCAAGTAGCTAGGATTACAGGTGCCCACCACCACGGCTGGCTAATTTTTGTATTTTTTTTTTTAGTAGAGACAGGATTTCTCTATGTTGGCCAGGCTGGTCTCAAACTCCTCACCTCAAGTGATCGGCCCTCTTTGGCCTCCCAAAGTGCTGGGGTTACAGGAGTGAGCCACCGCACCCAGCCACAGTCTTCTTTTTTTTGAGACAGGGTCTCTCTCTGTCACCCAGTCTGGTGTGCAGTGGTGCTATCTCAGCTTACTGCAACCTCCGCCTTCTGGACTCAAGCAATCCATACTCAGCTAATTTTAAAATGTTTTTTTTTGTAGAGACAAGGTCCCACTATATTACCCAAGCTGGTCTCAAACTCCTAGACTCAAGTGGTCCTCCTGCCTCGGCCTCCCAAAGTGCCAGGATTACAGGGGTGAGCCACTGCACCCGGCTGGTTGGTCTTACCTTATACATTAGAAGGCTCTGCACCCCCTTCAAGCCACTCTTGGCCTATAAAGCAGTGGAGAGAGAATTACCCGAGGGTGGTGGGATCCTCAGCATTTGAGAGCTCAGCCTTCTGTCCCCTAAGATAGCTTTATTTTGCCATCTGCGTGTCTCAAATATATTCACCACCCGCCATACACCACCTAAGAAGTCAATGCAAACTTTTACCCCTTTGACTAATATAAAATTAGTATTCCCAAAGTCATCCCCAAATAAAATGGGGAATGGTGAAGCAACAGGGCAAGGTGTTCCTGTCTCAAAGTTGTGAAGAATAAAATCGCATGGACAATTTTAAGCTGCAAAACTGGTCCCAGGAAACTTCTGAGCTTGGGAGAAAAAAGGCAGAACCTGGAACTGTGGCATCCAAGGACAAAGAATGTTTGCCGGTGAATCTTGGCTGTCAATTTTACAGGGGGGTGGGGGGTAGGATTCCAACAAAAATGAGTATAGTAAATAAAAAAATAAAAGGGGGAAGAGCTGTTAAGGGTTTAACTGCTGGTTCAGTTCTGATTAAATCATTTGTGTTTAAAGTGTCTGCCAGGGTCAAAATACTCCATCCTTGGGAGGTCAAAGTGTCCTCTGTCCCCTCCCCCTCGTCACCCCAGCGAGAGTGGCCTGTCCAGCTCAGCCTCACCGAGCGGTACATGTTCTTGACTGCTGGTTGGGTCTTGGCCTTGACTGAGTGCAGGAGGGCACCACCGCCTTTCTGCAGGAGAGGAAACACCAAGGGGGAGGGGCTAGGGCGAGATCCCACCTCCCCATCCCAGGTTGTGTGATGCTGATCAAGCCCCTTTCCCCCTCTGAATCTCCATTTTTTCACCTCCATAAATGAACACGATCGTAGTCATGACCCTACCTGCTGACTGTTGTGGAATTAAATTAATCCATTGAGACACACTTAAGTGTTTTTTGTTTGTTTGTTTTTGTTTCTTGAGATGGAGTCTCAAAGAACAGAGGTTTTTGTTTGTTTGTTTGTTTGTTTTTGCTGAAATGCAGTCTCACTCTATCACCCAGGCTGGAGTGCAGTGGCGCCATCTCGGCTCACTGCAACCTCCGCATCCCGGGTTCAAGCGATTCTCCTGCCTCCGCTTCCCGAGTAGCTGGGACTACAGTCGCCTGCCACCATGCCTGGCTAATTTTTGTAATTTTAGTAGAGATAGCATTTCACTGTGTTGGCCAGGATGGTCTCGATCTCCTAACCTTGTGATCTGCCCACCTCAGCCTCAAACTCCTGATCCCAGGCAATTCGCCTGCCTCGGCCTCTCAAAGTGCTGGGATTACAGGCGTGAGCCACCGTGCCCAGCCAACAAGCGGTTTTTGAGACAGGGTCTTGCTCTGTCACCCAGGCTGGAGTGCAGTGGCACGATCTCGGCTCACTACAACCTCCACCTCCTGGGGCTCAAGCCATCCTTCCACCTTAGCCTCCCGAGTAGCTGGGACTACAGCCACACCTAGCGAATTTTTGCTTTTTTTTTTTTTTTTTTTTTTTTTTTAAGAGATGGGGTTTCGCCATGTTGCCCTGGCTGGTCTCAAACTTCTGGTCTCAGCAATCCTGTCTCTGCCTCCCAATGTGTTGGGTTTACAGGCCTAAGCCAAGGCCTATTGTTTTGGTGGTCTTACCTTTAGATTGTCTGCCCAGAGCTGATAGGATCGAATGGTCCCTGGGGTAAGGAGAGAGTGTGGTGGTCACCAAAGGCTGGCTGAGGCTGGGGGTGCTGGTGGGTTGGGGGGACCCGGGGACTGGACTCACGGCTCACCTGAGGAGGCCCCGCAGCCGGTGATCTCCTGCTCAAATTGATCTGAGAAGCCCTCCCCATTGTTGAGCTTCTCCAGTCGGGCTTCGATGAACTGGGGTGGGGGACAGTAAATCAGAAGCAGCAGGAGACACATCTGAATGCCAGCACTTTGCAGCCTGCCTGCTATCAAGATGTAGAAGCCATCTCTGGCCTCCAACCTGCCCACCCCCAAGCACCTGGGAAACTGGAGCCCACTTTATTTTTTATTATTTTTTTTGAGATGAAGTCTCACTCTGTCACCCAGGCTGGAGTGCAGTGGCAAGATCTCAGCTCACTGCAAGCTCTGCCTCCCCGGTTTAAGTGATTCTCCTGCCTCAACCTCCCAAGTAACTGGGATTACAGGGGTGCACCACCATGCCCAGCTAACTTTTATATTGTTTGTAGAGACATGGTTTCCCCATGTTGGCCAGGCTGGTTTTGAACTCCTGACCTCAGGTGATCTGCCTGCCCTGGGCTCCCAAAGTGCTGAGATTATAGGCGTGAGCCACTGCCCC